TGCTAAAAAGAACATTATTTGGTGTATTTGGTGTAGTGAAATGTGTTTATGCGGTTTAAGGTTCAAAAAGCACATTATTTTCCACATACTGTACATTGTTGTTTCTCCTCTATGCCCTGCCTTTCTGAAACGCACCAATTTTTACAAAGCTCATCGGTCTGAAAAAACTAGGTGTGCTGTGATTGGCCAGCTATCCAGTGCATTGTGATTGGCCGAATACCTCAAGCGTGAGACGGAAATGTTACGCCCCTTGCCCTTGTGATGATGCCCCGTCCGGCCGGAGCGATGATGATGAAAAAACATGAAAACCTATTATAAACGAGGCAGTCCTTGCATCCAGTGGGGACATAATAATAGATTATAATGACTTATACTGTCTTTTTACGTGTTGCGTTGCATAAAACATAAAACCATGTCTGCATTTGTGATAGGAGAAATGACAAACAACAAGCCCTACTCTACACTGCCCAAAAAAACCCGCTTTGAATATATAAAATATAAAAACTCTTTAAATATAAAAAACGTACTTACAGTCTGTGAGTCAGAACAGCCGGCATTGTAGTCTACTCGACCAGGATCAGGAAACGGTCCTCCATAAAATGTGCTGCACACAAATGAATATTTGGGTTGAACTGTTCTGGAACAGTGTTGTAAATACAACTTAACCACTGATTTCTAGTCGTGTCCATTTTTGGAAGGCCAAACAAAGTAGTTTCCCTTTCACAACGAAACACACAGCGTCACAGGGGCTAGCGTGAGGAACGACCGGAGGGTTAGAGTGAGCAGAGGCGGCCTACAGTGAGCAGAAGCCAGGGGCTAGCGAGAGGGTTAGAGTGAGCAGAGGCGGGTGGGCTGGAGAACGGCGCAGCCGGCGATTTCGACAAAGGAGCATCCGGAAAGACATGTGATGACCTCGGGCTGGACTCCGCGTCGTCCACGGTGAAAGGCGATCCAGCGATCGACAGCGCAAAGTTGTAGTATTTCCTCAGCAACCAGCACGGATCAGCTCCAGGCATGACGAAGCAGATATCGTCCTCTTTTGGAAGACCGAACGACTTAGGTATGTTGGGGCGTGTTAGAACGAGCCGTTTTAGGTAGGCGTGGTTGACTCTTAACTTTTATAAAGAATATCTCTTTGGATTTGAGTCGTCGCAACTTTACAGATCTTATTTATGCACCAAGAGCTTGTAACACTCCAAAGAGAAAGGAAATTTAAATCGTGTCATATGACCCCTTTAAATTGTGTTCCGAAGACGAACGAAGCTTTTACGGTTTTGGAACGACATGGGAGTAAGTGATTAATGACAACTTTCATTTTGGGGTGGAGTAACCCTTTAAGATTTCATGTGGGACTTCAGAAAGCCTGTAGAAGGTGTGATGCAGGTCAAACAGTAACTTAGTTCCTAAAACCATTAAAGATTATATTTTTATTAAATTAAAAACCCATCCACAGTCAAGTGCTAAAAATAGAGTCCCAGCATCAGAAGTCCTGTGACTGGACTTCTTTGCTGGTGTTCGGGTCCCGCGGACCTTTGGTCTTCTTGGGCAGCAGCTGCGCCTGGATGTTCGGCAGCACGCCGCCCTCCGAGATCGTGACGCCGCCCAGCAGCGTGTTCAGCTCTTCGTCGTTGCGCACCGCCAGCTGGATGTGACGCGGCGCGATGCGCAGCTTCTTGTTGTCGCGGCTTGCGTTTCCCGCCAGCTCCAGCACCTCCGCGCACAGATACTCGATAACCGCAGTTAGATACACCGCCGCCCCGGAGCCGATGCGCGCAGCGTAGTTTCCCTTCCGCAGGAGACGCGCGATGCGGCCAACCGGGAACTGAAGGCCCGCGCGGGCCGAACGCGACACAGACGGCTTGCTCTCTGATGCAGCAACGATCTTCTTACCGCGACCAGACATGACGAAGAACTCTAGAAAATGGTTTAAAATAAAAACTAGACAAGCAAGCAAACAGATCAGTACATCTCCACATAACTAACCGAAAACAACCAAGTAGGCCTACTTCATATTACAGAAATTCAAAAATTTAGGTAGTTAAAATGCAATAAAGTAACTAAACTCGGAGTAAAAAAATGACTTCGATAATAAACAAACACCAGAACAACTTAAACTTACCTGATAAACACAACCAATGAACAAGCAGTGAAGATCTTTGATTCTTATCTAAGAGCATTGTGTTTTATACTAGAGCTTAATTGATTTTAATTCAAATTCACCTGTGCAAATGAGTTGGTGGCTAATCAGCTCTTTGAATTTTTTATTATATTGCAAATGATCAATTCGAGTGAGTCTTATGAGTGCATTTCAAAACTTTTTTGTTTTTAAGATTTAAGAGTTGAATAAAATTGTGGAATAAAGTCATTTAAAAAGCTATTTACTTACAAACGTGTTTATATTACTAATATTTGTAATGTTTATGACTATATTTGTTAATTTCAGTATCTTGAATTTGATGAGGGCAACATAAAGTTATATTTTTTTATTTATCTATTTGTTATTTATTTGTTTATTTTCAGAGGGTTGGGTTAGGTTAAGTCAAAATAAGTTACAAATTATAATAAGTTACAAATTTTAGCAGAGCTTTACATGTATGTCAGTGCATATGTTTAAATATTGAGTAGTTTTAGAAAGTTATTAAAATATGAATAGAGAGTTAAATGTAGGTTAATCAAATAGAGTTGCTTCATGATGCTTTAATCATGATTTCTTCCACAGGTTTAATAACTTGTTTGCGGTTTGGATTTTTCTTCAACCACGTGTTGTGTTGAAGTCACATGACAGCTGTTTTGATCATGTGACAATTTGTTGTGGCGGACACTCATGACTCGTGTGATCAAATGATTCGTGGTCGGTGATATTAGTGATCAGTGACTCTGTGCTCATTTGATT